TCGGGCGTCTGAGTGGGACCCAGATGGGCGCTGCTCCTGGCGGGGGAGGCTTTGGCCCTGCGGGGACCTGGGTGGAGGCTGGGCTGTCACTCCAGCCCTCCCCGCTCCGGCTTCTCCATGGCTTGTGCAGGGCGCCTCTGTGAGGTGCGTGCTGCCGGTCGGCAGGGTCTCCTGTGCTCACCCACGCAGCAGCTGCACCCACACGTGGGTGGACAGAAGGGCAGCGCAGCTGCAGTCCCCTGGCTTTGGATCCAGTGTGTGGGTGGTCTCCCCGCAGGGAGCAACACTCTGAAAACCCCTCACACCCTCCGTGTGAGGGGACACAGGTTTGACAGGGAGTGGGGTTTTTCTCACGGGAAACAGCCGGTGGTGGCTGAGAACATGGTGATTCAAACAGGGAGGCCTCTTCCTGCACAGTGCCCACGCACCGCCCTCTCGCAGGAGGACGCGGTGCCCCTCCCCCACCCCATGGGGAGGACGGCGTTGGCCACGCGCTGCAGGTGTGCTCAGGTTCCTGAAGCCCCCTGCTCTGTGACCTGTATCCCATCATGGTCCCAGTAGGCACCCAGGTGCCCCCCTGAGCCACCTCCCCGAGAGTTCACCCCGATGAAGCCGCCAGCAGGCGCCGGGGCTGTGCTGGTCACAGGATTTGGCGTCTGTGTTCCAGCACCGGAACGGGCATCTCAGAAGGTTTATTGTTTATTTTGTGATAGTGACAGTCACAGAAGGCCTCCAAGAGCTCCATGTCCCACTGCGGTTCACTACAGCCAGACGTGGACTGCGGGCATTCTGCAGAGACAAGACTCCTCCCTGCTCGCGCCCGCTTCCCCTGCCTCCGTGATCCCAGGCAGCTCCGCACTGGGCAGGCCCCGCTGCACGGGAATTTTGAAGCCACCCAAGCTCAGGGGGCAGCCCGGGCCGAGCTCAGCACAGAGGCTGCCTGGGAGGAAAGGTGTCCCCCTTCTCCGTCTGGAGTGTCTAGCTGCCGTGTGCCCCACACTGGGACGGGAATGGGGCCGTGCTTGGCCCGAGGCCTGTGCAGTCTCTAGATTGTGCTCTGTGAGTGACCGTCCCGGGCAGATGCCTCCCGTGCCGCACGGTGTTACGGAGTGGGCAGCACGGGGTGGCCTCTCCCAGAGGTGGCCGGCTCCCAGGGTGTGTTCAGCGAGACAGCAAAGGACAGAGTTCGGGCAGAGGCCGAGGTGCCGCAGTGGCTCCGGTGACGCTGTGAGCTGTTTGTTCTTCACGCAGCGTGTGGTTTCCAGCCTCACTGTTCCAGTGCCGTGTGAAGAAGCAGGCAGCACAGGAAACGCGCGGGGGCGTGGTGCCGGCAGACGCTAGCAGCACACCAGGGCTCACGACGGCCCGTGTGAGGAGCGGCCAGTCTCAGCTCGGCACTCAGCCCTGTGCTCGTCCCAGCACGGGGCTGGGACCCGCTCCTCCGTCCACAGCAGAGGGCGGGAGAGGCAGTGCCTGAGCCACTTGTCAGCCAGGCGCTGAGACGCACGCAGCGTGACCTTTCCCTTGAGGCGAGGAGGGGCAGCAGGTCCCGTCTGGCGTCTCGATAGGTGCAGCCTCTGCCAGACCCCGGGTGTTGAGGCCCTGTCTCTGGATGCTTCCGTGTGTCCGACTTCCTGGGTCTCTTTGCACTTGTTTTTAGGTAGGAAGAAGCTGGAGGTGAGTTTGAGCAGTACAGCTGTGCCAGCTCTGAGCGCAGGATTTCAGCAGGTAGATCGGGCTTCCCAGAGGAGTCGGCCAGGGAGGGCTGTGGGCACAGGGCAGTGCTGCGCCGTCCCACGTCCTCCGGCTGAGCTGCTTGCGGCGCTGCCACGTTCCCACTGAAAACTTGCAGCCCGGACGTCCTCCCAGGTCTGTGTGACCGCGTCCACTGCGTGACTGTTCTCCCTGTGCGTTGTCTGAGCGGCTGCGGAGCGCGGGAAAGGCCTCGCCGGGGGGGCGCCTCTGCCTTGGGAGGCGTGTGTGCCTTTGTCGCACGGGCGGCCTTGCGCTCTCCGTCCGTCTGCCTCGCTCAGGTCGCTTTCTCTTTCTCTCTCTCCCTCAGTGTTCCGGGAGGTGGATGAGCCCACCTTTCGTTGCGTACTTGGTGTTTATCTGGTGGTCTTCCTCCTGGCTCAGCCCTGTGTGAGATCACAGGGCAGAGGGGGGCCGAGCCTGCTTGGGGCTGGGCGTGGGGCCGTGGGTGCCTCCGCGGACTTCGCCAGCTCGTCCCAGACCCACCGTCTGCGCTGAGCCCCGCACGGGCCCCTCCCGGCACTCTTGCGGCCTGGCCCCTGCACAGTTGTTTTCTGTGCCCGGCAGTGCTGCCGGAAGCCGGCCAGCGGTGCTGATAACCTCACATAGGAAGCAGCTCTGGAACTGCTAGCCGCATGGCGCGCTTCCTCTCAGGAAAACTGTCACCTGATTGCTATTTCATGTGGCCCCAAAGCCGCGGGGGCTCCCCCACCCTGCTGACCTCTGCGGGCTATGGGGCGTCCGCATGGCTCTTTGTTCTGGGCAGGCAGGTTCACAGAGATGCGGGCTTCCAAGGCCAACAGGGCGGGGGCTTGGGAGCAGTGCCCGGCGCTCCCCTACCTGCTGGAGAAATCCGCTCCGTGTGGCGAGCCTCAGGAACCCCCACCCCAGGGCTAGCATGAGGGGCACTCAGGGAGCTGTGTCCCAAGGCTGTGGCCATGCAAACAGGGCCTTGCCCCTGGCCCCTCCCTGGCAGGTGTCTCATTGGACGTCCTAGGTGCGACCTTCATACACCATGGCCCCGGAGCCGGGAGGTGCTCTGACCTGAGCCAGGGGCCACACGGCCATCCAGTGGACAGTTGCTCCCACCCCCTCAGCCCTTGCCTGCCCATCTTGGGTCCCCTGCCACAGGCCAGAGCCCCTGGCCCCTCTTGAAGGGTCCGTATACACAGGCAGCCTTTGCATCCATGTGTGTGAGGGTCGTGAAGTAGGTTGTCCTTTCAAAGGGCATCTCAGATATTGTGCATTGTTAGAAATCACATTTGATTCCAATTCAGATTGATCCATGGGCTGATTTCTGCTTTTTTTTCCTTAAGATTGATTTATTTGAAAGGCAGGGCCACACAGAGAGAAACAAAGAGACTCTTCCATCTGCTGGTTCACTCCCCAAAAGGCTGCAACAGCCAGGGCTGGGCCAGGCCAAAGCCAGGAGCAGGAACTTCATCTGCGTCTTCCACAGGGGTCGCAGGGGTCAAACGCTTGGAATCTCATCGCTGCCTTCCCAGGCACACAGCAGGAAAATGGATGGGGAGAGAGTAGCCGAGACTCACGCGGCTGCTCTGATGTGGGTGCTGGTGCCACGGCGCTGGCCCCGGGCTGGGTCTTTTTAAACAAACCTTTATTCTCACCCATCTTGGTTTTCAAATTGCCTTGGGGCTAAGGCAGGTCTGGAGAAGCAGGGATGGGATCCCTCGGCGTTGGCGATGCCATGAGCCTGTGGATCCCTGGTGCCCCCACAAAAGGTCACCGCCCCACCCTCCACCCCCAGCTGCTGCTGAGTGGACCTGAGACTGAACCTGGAGTGGGAGTGGGTGGGAAGCTGCCAGGTGCCGGACGGCAGGGCCTCCATGGGGCAGTGCCGAGTGCAAATGGAGAGGTGCACAGGGCCACAAGGAAGGAGAGACGCTGGCCCTCGTGGCTGTCTTGAGCTTGGGTACCTGCTAATATGTCCTTGGCAGCTGCTGTGCGCCGCGCGTGTCGGTGGGCCTGGGGGTCCACAGGCTCTGCACGCCTGGGGCCGTTAGCTGCATCTGACCGGCAGGGCCCAGCGGAGCCCCGCACATTGTCCACTGCCTGCCGAGTTGCTGTGCGGAGCTGTGGGGCGCAGACTGAAGGGACGTCCACAGGCTCTGCACGCCTGGGGCCGTTAGCTGCATCTGACCAGCAGGGCCCAGCGGAGCCCCGCACATTGTCTACTGCCTGCCGAGTTGCTGTGCGGAGCTGTGGGGCGCAGACTGAAGGGACCTCTGGCCGCAGAGATGTGGGCCTGCTGGCAGGAAGGCTGGTGCTGTGTGCCCTGGTCACTGCACAGCAGGTGGCCGGGACTTCCAGGCTGCAGGGACCAGCGCCCCCCACTGAGCACAGCCATCTCCCCAGGCCAGAGGAGCCACAGAGAGCTCAGGGTGCCTGAAATGCTGCAGAGAGCCAGGCCCGGCCCTCCACGGAGGGAGCCCGGGCTGCGCAGGGTCTCACGGCCGCTTTTCCCCGGAGGCTGTGCTGGTGTAAAGGACAGAGCCCTGGCGTCTGGGAGCCTTGGCTGCCAGGAGCTGGTCATGCAGCCCCTTAGTGTCCAGGGACAAGCCAGGGTCAGCGTGGTGTTCCCGTTTCTTCTCCGCCCTTGGGTGTGTGCTGCGGGAGTCATGCACTCTAGGATGGGGAGGGGCCGAGAACTGGGCTCCCAGCACTTCACCCAGGACCGTGGCTGTTTGATGGGCAAGAGCTTGCCAGTGAGTCCTGGGGCCTCTCTGGGGAGAGCGCGTGGCTTACAGCAGTCCATCTGCCAGTGACGGTGGCATGGGACCACACTGGAGAGGGCCTCCACGCCACTCCAGAAGTACCGGCAGGCCCATGACCACACAGCGACAAGACAGCCATTGGCTATGCCCAGACCTTTTTTTTTTTTTTTTTTTTTTTTTTTTAAAGGATTTACTTATTTGTTTGACAGAGAGAGATCTTCCATCCACTGGTTCACTCCCCAAATGCTACAATGGCTGGAGCTGTGCCGATCCGAAGCCAGGAGCTTCTTCCTGGTCTCCCATGCGGGTGCAGGGGCCCAAGCACCTGGGCCATTTTCCACTGCTTTCCCAGGACATGGCAGAGAGCTGGATCAGAAGAGGAGCATCTGGGTTGTGAACTGGCGCCCATATGGGATGCCGGTGCTGCAGGTGGAGGCTTAGCCCACCTCACCACAGCACCGGCCCCACGTGCTGAGATTTTTTTAAGCCACTTCAGTAAGGACATTATCTAAGATGGTGAGGGCCAGCGAGAGGACCAGGGCTGTGCTGTGCTGGGGTCCTCATGCGTCTCTAATGCCCGTCTGTTCCATTCCAGCCCGTCTCTGCCAGCCCTCGACTGGCAGCTGCCGTCCCACTCGGGCCCGTATGAGCTTCGCATCGAGGTACAGCCCAAGTCCCACCACAGAGCTCACTACGAGACGGAGGGCAGCCGGGGGGCCGTGAAGGCGTCGGCCGGAGGACACCCCATCGTGCAGGTATCGCACTGCCACCACTTGCTGCCTCCAGCAGGAGCTGGTGCTCTCAGTCCTTGGGCGGCCTGGGGGCTCGTCTTCTGCCTCCCACGCCGCCTCCCCCAGCCGGTTTAGCTAGACGGGTCCTGGTTCTGTGCTCGATTGAGCAGGCGAGGAGAGGGCGCGTATGGTGTCTGTCATAGAGGCCATGTGCAGGGGTGACTGGGGTGCTGTGAGCGCTTCCTGTTAGATTACATTCTTCACTCACGGCCTTGCACGTTTGTGGCGCTGCTTCCCACGTGTGGTCCCTCACCACCCACTCCGAGGTCATCAGAAAGGCAGATCTCCAGGCCCATTCCAGGCCTGCTCAGTCTGCATCTCTGGGAGGTGAGCGGGCCATGCCGTCAGGGTGTGGGGGCGGGCCCCTGCCGGGAGGGGAGACAGACTCTCCTCCGTGTACCCCCAGTGTGGCGACCCGGGCCCACAGCCCTGTTGTTTAGATAATGGTGCCAGCTGGAAGGGGCACGCAGCAGGGGCCTGGACTTGTGTTTGACTGTTTGGGGACATGAAGGGCTGTGTGGGCAGGGCCTGGACGCAGATGGCAAGCAGCCGGCGGCACACTTCAGCAGCACTTGTGGGAATGTTAAGGTGGTGCTTGTGGCCCTGTGTTTGATGCTAATTATGACCTGGGTCGAGAGCCCTGCCAGGTGGGAGGGCAGTTGGCCATTTCAAGTCTCTGCCTGCCCAGGTGGAAAAGGTCAGGCCGAGCCCGCGTTCCGTGGCCCTCGGTAACCACAGTCATTACCTGCCCTTCTTGCTGGGGTTCTGAGAGTGGAAGTGCATTATTGCGATGAGGAGGCAGGCCAGCGCAGAGCAGCCAGAGGGGAGCAGCGGGCAGTGAGGGCTGCAGCCCCTCCCCACGTCCATAACAGCCGGGGCGGGGCCGCAGGCTGGGCTGGGTCTGAATCTTCCTGGTGCTGATGGGGGGGGGTGGTGAGAATTACAGCAGAGAGTGTGTCACAGCCACGGCCACGCAGCAGCTGCTCGAGGCTGCCGCAGCTCCTCTGGTCGTCTCTGTCTGTGTCTGCACGTGTGGGCACAGCAGTGCTGTCTGTCTACACTGAGTGTCCTGACACTGTGGGCACAGCAGTGCTGTCTGTCTACACTGAGTGTCCTGACACTGTGGGCACAGCAGTGCTGTCTGTCTACACTGAGAGTCCTGACACCGTGGGCACAGCAGTGCTGTCTGTCTACACTGAGAGTCCTGACACCGTGGGCACAGCGGTGCTGGTCTGTCTACACTGAGAGTCCTGACACCATGGGCACAGCAGTGCTGTCTGTCTACACTGAGAGTCCTGACACTGTGGGCACAGTAGTGCTGTCTGTCTACACTGAGAGTCCTGACACTGTGGGCACAGCAGTGCTGTCTGTCTACACTGAGAGTCCTGACACCATGGGCACAGCAATGCTGGTCTGTCTACACTGAGAGTCCTGACACTGTGGGCACAGCAGTGCTGTCTGTCTACACTGAGAGTCCTGACACCATGGGCACAGCAATGCTGGTCTGTCTACACTGAGTGTCCTGACACTGTGGGCACAGCAGTGCTGGTCTGTCTACACTGAGAGTCCTCACACTGTGGGCACAGCAGTGCTGTCTGTTTACACTGAGAGTCCTGACACTGTGGGCACAGCAGTGCTGTCTGTCTACACTGAGAGTCCTGACACTGTGGGCACAGCAGTGCTGTCTGTCTACACTGAGAGTCCTGACACCATGGGCACAGCAATGCTGGTCTGTCTACACTGAGAGTCCTGACATTGTGGGCACAGCAGTGCTGGTCTGTCTACACTGAGAGTCCTCACACTGTGGGCACAGCAGTGCTGTCTGTTTACACTGAGAGTCCTGACACTGTGGGCACAGCAGTGCTGTCTGTCCACACAGAGAGAGCAGAGGCTTCGGGAGGAATTTTACAACTCAGACATCTGTAGGATGCCGAGGAGAACTGTACTAACTGGTGGGTGCTGGGGGGGGGGGGGGGGGGGGGCTTGGTCCCTACGGAACCCGTAGCATTCTCGTGTGGGGGAATTAACCGTTTGCACGGTCTTTTGCTGATCTGCTGGGATGCGTGGCGGTGCAGGTATGACGTGAGCAGTTGCAGGAGGGGTGTGGGAGTCCATCTGGCTGTCGGCTGATGGAGGGCAGACTGAGCACACGTCGGTACGCTCGCTCTTGCAGAACGAAGGGAAACAGGAGGATCCCACAGCCACCGTCAGCGCAGTGCCACCACTCCCACGTCTGTGCCGGCCGTGGCTGCCGCAGCCCCGGCACCTGAGCCTGGGCTCCCTTCTATGGCGCCTGGGGGGTATGAGGCAGGCCACAGAGTCTACCTGTGCGGGAGCCGTCTCGCGGTGGACCTGCCGCTGGGCCTTGGCTTCAAAGCCCCGTCTGTAGGCGCGTGGTTTCTCCTGTGTGCAGACTGTGCTGCTCTGCAGCTGGGCCCACTTTCCTCCACATTCCCACAAGTCTCCATGAGACCAGAGCCAGGACCTTGCGCAGAGTGGCAAAGCCACAGCAGTGCCCCAGAGGGAAGGCGGCGGGAGGAGGGCCGGGCTCTGCCGCGGGCGGCCTGCAGTGCAACGCAGCCTGGGCCCCGAGACCCCAGAACCAGAGCCGCCACCCTCTCTCCAGTACACACAGTTTTATTTCTTTAAAGATTTATTATTATTTTATTTGGAAGGTAGAGTGACAGAGAGGGGCAGGCAGATATAGTCCATTCACTGGTTCACTCCCCAAATAGCCTCAATAGCCAGGCTGGACCAGACTGGAGCCAGGAGCCTGGAACTCCAACATGGGTGCAGGCCCAGAAGCACTTGGGCCATTCTCCGCTGCCTTCCCAGACACAGGAACGGGGAGCTGGATGGGAAGTGGAGCAGTGGGACTCGAACTCGGGACAGTACTTGAGCCTCACCCTGGCCCAGCCTCATGGGGGTAAAGACTCTTGGGGGCTGGCTGAGCGTCACTCACCTGCCGTGGTGGGTGCAGGCCTGGGGTCCCTCCCTCCCTCCAGGACCTGACCCTTCTCACACGCCTGCTCGTCCCGAGGCCGTGTCCTCCCACGCGTGGAGACTGGTGCCTCCTGCTCTGCCACAGTTCTGCAGATGCGAGCGTGCAGAGAATGAGCCAGTGTGGCACGGCCACGGGAGGTTCTCAGCTGTGAGATCTGGCAAGTGACCCCGCACAGGCCTGGCCACGCTCCAGGCGCATGTGGGCTATGCGGGCCCCAGCCCACCGAGGGGTGCCCCCCACAAGCACCCACTCCATGACTTAGTGAGAAACAGGGCTCTTGTGTCCGTCTCTAGGGTGGGGGGCTGGCCTCGCTTCCTTTATGTAGTTGAAGCAAAGACAAAGGATTGTGGGTCACCTGGACTTGACCTTCTCAGTGGCACGGATGCCCCCGAGTCCACTCAAGGGCAGAGCTTCTGCCTGGCCCAGCCAGGCCACAGCTCTGTGTGTGGGCCTGCAATTGGCAGAGGGGCCGAGGAGGTAGGAGACGCAGAGCCTGTTCTGGGTCTGGGCGTTGGCAGCAGTCTTGCTCGGTTACGCGCAAGGACCCGGGGGGACAGCGTTGGTCCCTGTGCTCCCAGTCCACCCAGGTCTCTTCAGAAGGGACGTCCCTGGCAGGTGGCATGGCCACCCTCCCAGTTGTTCTCTGCCCCTGGTGAGTCTGTGGATGGGTCCTGCTCCCGGCATGGGTCAGGACTGGGGGTTCCCAGGGTTCTTGGGTTCTGGGCACTGCTGCCTCCTTTCCCATCTCGCTCCCCGCTCACTCACTGGTCTGCCCCTGTGCCCCACAGACCTCATCAGTGAGGCCACAGCCAGCTTTGGCCGGTTCCTACCAGAATGGTCTGGGGGAGAGGGGCAGCCCAGAGGCCTCAGCTGCAGGGTTGCCTTTTCTGGGTGCGGGAAGGCTTTCCCATCCTGGTGTCTTCTTGCGCCATCCGGGATGTTGTGCCTGGAGGAGAGCTGGAGCTCCAGCCCCACACGCCTGTGGGCGCCTGCGGCTCCCGGGGCCCAGGCCTTGCTCCAGTCGCAGCTGTCCCTGCCTGCTGTACAGCCCTGCGTCCCAGCGCCTGGTCCGCAGGGCCCGCAGGTGTGAGGTGCCGGCCTCAGGGCGTCGACAATTTCCCTGTGGCCTCTGGGACATCCAGGAGCACAGGAGCTCCTGAGGGTGTAGCCTGACCTCTGACCCAGGGGTCAGAGAATTCAGCTCCGTTTACTGAGTCACCAAAACAACGCGCCTGATAGCATCTGGCCCATCTCTCAGCCGGGTCCACGTGAATAATTAACGGCCACAGAAACGTGAGCCCAAGGAGCCCTGCCCAACCCCAGCAGCTTGGAGGTTTGTGGTGGCTCTGTGAGGCCGCCGCCTGGATCAGCAGGGAGCTGGGGCAGAGGCCGGGGCCCAGGGGAGGGTGTGAGGGGCCTCGAGGCCACTGCGGGGCGCTCCGTGGACGACCTGGCTTGTAGGTTGACCTTGCCCGCAGGCACCGCCAGCACCGTTTGCATCTCGTGAGCAGAGTGACTGCTGCGGACCAGGCTCCCTGAACGCCGTCCCGAGGGGCTGCAGCCCCTTTGCAGTCCAGGCTGGCAAGGGCAGGCTGCGTGTTCTTCCCAGGGCACTCCCTCTGCCGTGTGTGCCACGCCGTAGCAGGCCGGAGGTGCTCCTGGAATAAATTAGTGCTTGGGAGAAATGGCGTGGGCCCCATGAGAAGCCAGGAGCCCGTGCAGCGCCGGGAGATGGAACCGAAGCCGCACGAGGTGGGAACTAAAAGGCGGCCTGACCCCCAGCCGGATGCCCCGCGGCCCTGCCGCCAGGTGCTGGCTGCCCTGCACAAGCTGTAGGTTCGTTTTTTATGGCTCTGCCTCAGCGGCACGACAAGCGCCCTCTCCCCTTTCAGCGCCACGTCCAGGCAAATCGGCACGCTTTCCCCAGCTACAGGCACAGGTGCTGGGCCCTCTCCCCTCG